AAAAAAAAAAAAAAAAAAAAAAAAAAAAAAGGCTCTCACACACAGGTTGCTGCAATGGCCATCAGGGCCTCTGGGGGGTCATGGCAGAGCCCCTCCATGCAGCATGGGACAGTGTGGGGCAGCAGGGATCACCCCTCCCCCCCACCTTTCTGGGCAGGAGCCTGTGAATGCAGGGCTTTTTTTGTGTGTGTGTTGGGACCCTGAGCCCTGGCAGAGCAGCCGTTGATGGGACTGGGAGAGTGGGCAGGGGTGGGGCCTGTTGGATTTGGAGATTCGGCCGATTCAGCAACAACCAAATGTCTGAATTAGATTTGGCCGAATTGATTTGGGACAATGAGTCAAATCACTGAATCAAATCGCTGTTCCCTGAATTAGCCGAATCCAAAGGAAATACTAGCCACTTTGCACAGGTTTACTATCTTTACCTGCCTCTCCAGTGGCAGAAAGGGGAGAGCGAGCTGCTGGCAGACAGAATCTATTACATATGATAGCTTTTCATTGAGAAAATGTATTAATAAAGGGCATGTATGCAACTGGCACCTGCCATGAGAATTTTCATAGCAGTTTTTGCCAACCTGGGTCTCAGGTGTAGAGCTGTATTTCTGGGACAGGAGAGCTCATACAGAGTGGTGGGATCATGGTATGATTTGTGTAGCTCCAGAACTGCCAGATAATTCAGCACACCTTCCTGGACTTGGGCAAAGAGCTTGACCCATCCCCCTGATATCACAATATAGTGCCAGTGAAGCCCATACCAAACAAATGTAGGTTGCTATTGGAATGAAGAAATTGGCTAGTCCAGATTTGTACAGGTCTTTGACATAGTTAAGGCAACTTAGGGGTGGTAGAAGCAAAAGAATGAGATGCCATACTGAAACTGGTTTGACCATGGGCTTCAGTCATAAATAATAGCTGGTTTGCAAAGAAAGACTTTCCTATCATGCATCAGGCTATTGATGGCATACATGTACCCATAATCTGCACTCCCAAAGAACCCAATGAATATGTTAATTGCAAAGAGTGTTATCCTCTGGTCATACAGGGTTTGGTGGACCACAGGAGAGAGTTCTTGCATGCAAATATTGGTGACACATGCAAGGTGCCTGATACCAGGATTCAAAGGAGATCAGGCATTTACTTGAACAAGCTACTGAGATCCAGTTCTCTCCCAGGGTCACGATAAACAATGTGGTATAGAGATGCACTTATCTTCTCTGGCTACAGCTTATGAAATCATGTCCAGACAACACTGGCCAGACAGAACATTAAATTACATTCCAAACTTGTAAAATGGAGGCTGAACTCCCATTTGGAAGGCTTATGGGAACATGATGCTGTCTCCAAAAACATCAGGATGCAAATACTGATTCTGCTCAGCAGAAGGCAAGGGAATTAGGAATTCCATGTAAGCTGACATTGCCAGCACATACACTAAGTAACTGTCCACCTGCCAGCACATTTTATTTTGGGGAACACAGTCTCTTCTGAGCTGCCTCAGACACAGAAGTAATTGCAGTGGAAGGCTGAAAAATTTGATTCATTCCTTTCTTTCAAATGCTAGAAATGTAATTCTAGCACAAAGCTACATTTTGAAACCTTTTATCATATTTGCTACCCCATCCCTCCTTGTTTCTAAGATTAGCTATACAAAGGGCTGTAGATGGAAAGTTGTCAAGTAAACACCAGAACATGGGATCATAAGTTCATTTTCTTTGGCTTGTGTATTAAAAATTGCTTTATGAAGAGTTTTTGTGTTCCAAAGGACAGCAGTTTGAATATCAACAGCAAGGAGGGGAGACTTGTCTAAGGATCTTGTTTAACCACTCAGAGTTTCCTGTCTAGTTATGAGATTGGTCATTTTATCAAGGATATAAACATTTTGGAGGCCCTCGAATGGAAAAAAGATGTGGAATAGTCAGTGAAACTGCACTATCAAAGTACACGCAGCAGCTTTTGAAAAGCCTTGTGCCCACACAACACATGTATAAATGGAGGGGCCTTGTTAGTTCCTGAAGGGGTCCAGCCTGGTTGGCTCTGACTAGCTTAACCCATCATCTGGAATTCCTGCTGCATGAAAAATTTGCAGTCATCAGTTCCCAGATGAGGATTAACACTGATACGCTACTTAAGGTAATGGTACTTTCTCCTTGCCCTTACACAGCCCCTTCTCATGGTGCAACAAAATTTCAAGAACTCATGATGAAAGAAGAATCAAATGGGCTCTGAAGCAATTGTACATGGTGTGAGGTTTTTCTGCTAAAAACAATCTACTCCCTGCTCCCCTCACAGGCAAAAATAGACTATTGACTATACACATTAACAAGCTATCATCTAAATGCTTCAGGAGCTAATTGTTGTTTTGTGACAGCTAAAATATCCCTAAAACTGGCCCAGTGATGCCCCTGGATGTTTGAAGTGTAAAAACTTCTTAGAAAAGAATTATAAGTGTTCTGTACACAGTTCTGCTATAGCACCAAAACATTGGCCTGTTAAAAATCACAGAAATCAGACAGTTTAGATTCTGGCCATATTTTTTTTTCGGTTAGACATGGGGTTAGGTCTGTACAACAAACCACTATGCAGGCTTCTGGTGCAGTTTCTGCCCTAAACAAAAGCAGGTTGTACCCATACTTCCTGACTTCACCATCCTTGGCCATGCACTAAGATACCTTCCTCCCTCTTCCTCTCCCCCTCCCCTTTCCTTTCCCAAAAGTAATAATGAAAATAGCAGGTAGCACTTATCCGTCTGGAACTGAGTATTATACACTGATGGGGCCACCTGAGGTCTGCCAAAGCCCTCAGAAAGCTCAGAGGACATCCATCAGTAAAGACAGTGTCTATTGCAGACTGCTCCAGAGTCTCCACACCAGGAGCTACTTGCCTCAACTCCTCAGAGAAAGTGAAGTCTCCTTTCCCTATGATTATTCCAGCAGCAGGCAAATGAGTGAGGACAACTGACTTGATATTAATGGCAGCAGCAAGTACTTCATCAGATTCTTTGTAAAAGAGGTATGTCACTAATGTATTTACAGACTGTTGTGGTCTTTCTTTGAATTACATTTGGATTTGATGAGTTTTCTGTCATGACACTGAGTCCCTAACTGGTGGATGTCAGGTACTGCTGGATCTCCTTCAGGCTGCAGCTGAAATAAAGAAGCTTGACCTTTTCCACATGTTGACTAGAATGCTCCCGTGCTTCTGAAGTCAGCTAGCTCTTCATTGGGAAACTAGATTGGCTTCTAAGATTACCCAGAGAGGTGGTGGAAGCTCCATCCTTTGAGTTTTTCAAGACCTAGCTAGACAGAGCTTTGGCTGGCATGATGTAGTTGGGGGTGGTCCTGCTTTGAGCAGGGGGTTGGACTAGATGACCTCTGGAGGTCCTTTCCAACCCTCATTTTCTATGATTCTGTGTGCTGCAAGATGGAGCAAAACAGTTCTGACCACTCCAAAAAACTGATAGTGTAACCCTTGAAAAGGTGTGTGTGTTGGAGGATGAGGAGGCCTAAGAGAGAGAGTGCACTTTTGGGCAAGGAGCTTGGTGTGAAAGAAGCTTTACATACTGAGAAAAAATAATCTTTTTCCTGTTCTTGCATTCTTACTGTGTCTAGGGAAACAGGACTTTTTGCATTCTTTATAAATAAACAGCATAACATCAGAGAAATGCATATCTATCTCATTAGTTTCTCCTCCAAGAACTGACTACTCGCAGTAAAATAGATACGGATGTTGTCAGAAGACAGGTGTCTGCCTTACTTCTAGAAGAATTGTGCTATTAAAGGTAAGAAGTTTTGGACTGATTACATAAAAAGTCAGTTTATTTCTGAATCCTCTCTTTCCCATCCTTATCATGACATATCAGTTCTTAAACATGAGTTTCTGGGGAAGTGGAAGATTAGAAAACCTGATGTAAGAACTAATTCATTGTACATCACTTGGTGGAGTCATTGTTGGATGGGAATTAAGCTATAAAGCAGCAGCATTTTTGTTAGAGTATCATTTGAGGATATTTTTGTGTATGGGAAAAAGCAATTAGAAGAGCAAGAAGGTTAATTTATTTCTTCTTTTTACTTTTTTGGGAGGGTTTACAGAAATTGTATATGAATCTAATATTTTAATTTCAAATTAAATTAAAATTACTGCTGAACTTTGTGGAATATTTTTTCTTGTTCTATTGTATTCACTCCTAGTCAGTTGATTTGACTGAGTTGTTGGGGTCACCTGCAACATTGTTTCATTGCTAATTTCAGTGCTAAGGGATTGATTCTGTTCTTTTACATACCTGTGTCCCAGCAGGACCTGCCAGTGATCTCCATTGCTGCCTGCAAGCATCAGCAACATAGGGATAGATCTTCAAAGCCTCCCTCTTTCCCCACACTCTCTCCACCAAATACTCTCCCACACCTTCTTGATCTCCACACTAGTGGTCTGTCCCTTTCAGTACTGCCCCCAGTATCCTACAGACTGCAGACTCTTCTACCTTTTGCTTGCCTATTCTCTTGTCATACTGCCAGTAGGTGATTTTTTGTATCTGCCCCATGGTATCTTATCTTCTTAAATCCTAGACCTTTCTTATACCTTACACTTCCATTCCAAGTAACTCCTTTCTACATCTAGCCCCTATTTCCATGCCTCTCTAGCTTGCAAAAACACTCTGCCTGCATCTCAAGACATACATGTTAGCCCTTCCCCCTTTCCCTCTGCACCACTGTTTTTTTTCCTTCTCATACACTGCATCTTGTCCCAGGCCCTACTTTAAATATCTCAGGGTAGAGAATATATCTATTTATTGTTATCTTGTAAGACACTCACATATGTTGAGATGCTGTGCTAATAAAATAGCAATAGATCAATGGGAAAACTCCAGTTGACTTCAGCAGGCAAAGAGATGGGGCCAACCTATGTTTTTTTTCATTCCAAACTATTTGCATAAACAATTGTAGGTCAGAAACAGAATCTTGTAAACTACTTATAGAAATTTCAAAGTGGGGTCCCAATCCCTCTCATATTAAAATCAATGGAAGTTTTACTCTTCATTTACCAGTTCAGAGGAATACAATGATATATGTGTAACAGCCTAGGTTTAGTGCCTAAAGAAAATGTGCAAAACCGTTAATGTGAAACAGTTACACAAATTAATCTGTCTTCTTTACTTAGGCAGCTTGCCCACTGCTTGTTTACATGCACAGCATTAGGAAACCCCTGGCTCTTCTTCCAGATTCTGCTGTGGGCTTTGTGCAAACCATGTCACAGAACTGTTGTGTCTCTTTTGATTTACACATCCATGTAATCATAATAATGAAAGTCTCTTGCAAGGAGGCTGGGAGGCTTACTTAATAGTAAAGCCTGATTAGATCTTCAGATGAAAATCTCTAAAGGAATTAAAGGGAGAGATAATATGGTAGTCAAGAAATCTTAATATATTCCTGCAAGGTAGGAATGTGATATTTCTTTAGGGTATTGTTGATTTGTTTGTAAACCTGGCATATTGATGGATTTAAGTATCTCAATAAATTGCATACTCTATGCCATATTCAGCATATGCAATTTAGTAAAGGACTAGGTAAATCATGATTTTTGTATAAAACACTAACGTATTTGACCTGCAGCATCTCACCATTCAGACTCATCATGTTGGTTAAAAGTATGTACTATCCAGCTTAATGTTTCTCAGGTTTTAAGATGTAGTCTATCTAACACTTCTTGGAGATTTTAATCAGCATAGTTAGCATTTTTTTTATTATGATACTGCATTTTAAGTAAACATTATTGGAATCAGTGTACCATCATTTGAGAACTAGTGATTTAGTGCCAAACATGAAATCTCTGATATTGCTCTGGTTATTTAGGCACATCTTTCTGAAAAGGTAATTCACCCATGAAAACTGCAGGTGCTGTGCATCTCTGAAAGCCCAAGAAATCTTGCACCAGGCACCAAAAAGCAGTGTCAGATAATGACAACACATGAATAATGACCAGCCAGAATTCATGTGATACAGGTAAAAACAGGAGGCAAATATGGAATCTTAGTCCTGCTTTTTCACCACAGAAAACCCAGTTGTTCTAGACATCACACTGAGAACATGCACTGTCCTATGAGGTAAAAAAATGAACCTATCTATTAGGACAAACTTTTAAAGCCTACCTGACAAGACCACTACAGACATGTTTATAGGAAAGAGCCACACTGGTGTGCTACCCATGCCTCTCTGAGTTCCAAGAACAAGCCTTTCCAGCATTGGCATCCTGATGTTCCCACTTTGGTCTGTTGTTCTGTGTCAGTTCATCATCTGTTTGTCTCTTGGCCCACAGTAATGTGTGTTTTGTAATCATTGCATCAGGGGCTTCCACTAGTGGTTTCTCAGAAATTGGCATTCTGGGACTGGGAAAGAGAATTACAGAAAAAACTAAATGAAACTTCCCTGAATTACATCCAAACTCCTGCAAGTGATGACTGTTTAGCAAGATAGATTCATACTTCCAAGGGACCAGGCATGTTCAAAAGTTGGAGCCTCTCTCTATTAGGTGCATTGCACTTTGATTAATTTGTGGGGGTGGTTTAAATCTTTCTATTTTGTCCACTGTCATGTATTATTGTACATAAGAACAATGTAGTGGAATCTATTTCGCTTTTTCAGTATCAGCCAAAAGCCATGGGTTTTTTACAGTACTTAAGGAAAGGAGGAAAAACGTTAATATAAAAGCCACAGCACATTTGCCAGCTGAATTGCTCATGCCATGAAAGTGCCACTCATAGTGAATGCCCACACTGAACCTGGTCTTTCAACCCAGCTGCCCCCTCTGCCTGAGGAAGGAAAAGTGGATTTTGCTCTGCATGAGGCCCACTGAAGGATTGTGGTACTGCCTGTGGAGAGGCACTTTTATCCAGATCCTAGTTATTTTTTTCCCCCTAGGTATGAGCTAGATATAATTTAGTTCTGTGTTCAGCCACAACTTTTTAACCCTGGCTTCCTGCTGTTCAAAAAAGCATTTAGACTCTGGGACAGTAGTTTTCAGCATTTTTTCATTTGCGGACTCCTAAAAAAAACTGAATGGAGGTGCAGACCCCTTTGAATTGTAAGCATGGGTATGCACATACTTTTGATTGATCATAGTCATTTTTGGCAAACCCCCTAGACATAGTCTGTGGATCCCTAGGGGTGTGTGGACCATAGGCTGAAAACCACTGCTCCAGGGCAAACCTGCAGGGTCACCAAAGTCATGGACAAGGAAATGAGCTGGTGGCCTCAGGGTTTTAATATCTGGTGGTGTGTGTGTGTGTGTGTGTGTGTGTGTGTATCTATATATATATGTGTGTGTATAGTGTGTGTATGCATAGCGTGTGTATAGTGTATATGTGTGTATGTGTATAGTATATATGCGTATATAGTGTGTGTGTATGTATAGTGTATGTGTGTGTAGAGTATGTGTATGCATAGCGTGCGTATGTGCAATGTACGTGTGTGTATACTGTGTGTGTGCATGTATAGTGTGTTATTTAGTTAGTCGGGGAAGGGGCACCCGCCTCCTGGCTGCGCGCTGGAGCAGAGCCCACCCTCCCCGGCAGCCCGCTGCAGGGCAGGGCTGGGCCGGACCGGACGCGGCTCCCCGCCTGCGGGCTCCCGCATTCCCACTTCTCAGCCGAGGCGCGGACCCGGGGATCCGGCCGAGGCCGCGGTCCCTGCAGCTGAAGGCGCCGCGGGCGGGGGCGCGGCTGCACTAGGCCGCTGGCAGGCTCCGCAGGGCGGGACAGGGCGACGGGAACCTCTCCGCCGCCTCGTGGAAGGGATAAAGTCCCCGGCGCCTAAGACACCCGCTAGTGCCTGCGCCTGCCCCTGCCCGCGTGGTTGACTGGGATGAGCAGGTCCCCGAGCCCGGCCCCGGGGGGCGCCCACGCGCTGGTCGAGCCCAGCCCAGCCCCGCACGGCGCAGGCGGCTTGCGGGGGCCCAGTGGGCACAGCCCTCCTGGCCAGGGACCGCCTGGCGGAGCTGCC